CTCATTAAATATCGAAATTAGAAGATAAATGCACTATTTTTAATTATTGGAAATGCGTTTTTCTAAGGTTACATAAAATTTGGGATTGACTGTATAGCCAATACATCCTTAAATCGTTCCATTCGTCCAGTTCCGTTCTTCGACTCTAAATCTGACACTGAACGACATCCGAGGAACGTATTATCCTAACGAATTTTTTATCGTACAGTCGAGATCGTTTCTTTATCGAATCACTGACATTTTGAACGCACGTGTGCTCTCATGGGGTGCAAATATAAATATCGGTAATTCCGTCCTTTAAAGGTTTCTATCGTGTTGCCGCGTCGCGCGAGCTCTTCTCCTTTGACTTTGACACGATAACGGAGACCTATGCCGACGAGCACGAGCTCCGTTTTACCCGTGAACATGAGAAAACTTTGTTTGCCGTCAGAGCGTCCCTTCGAAGGGATCGGTGGTAGTGAACGAAGTTAAGGAAGGACGCGCGTACGACGTACGTCCTCGTCGATGTAAAATTAACGAGCTCGACGACGTCGATCTGTCGTCTTCGATACTTTCCAGCGTCGTGTATTTTTGTTCTTTGATTGATCCGCAGTGAAAGCGAAAAAAGTGCGATCGTGTCATTAAGTTTCACCGCGCTTCTGCATTTTCCTCGCGCCGACAGGAAACGAGAAAATTGTAGACAGGTTTTAATAAAACGAGAGATCGAAACCGATGACGTCGGGTAATTCAGGTTCCGTAGTTAAGTCCATAATTCAGACGCGACATCGTCTAATTATACCGATCGGTACAACGTACCGAATCTTCATAAGCGTGAGCGTCGCGTATCTGCGAGTCCGAACAACGTCTCGTTTGCACGGTGACTTTTTACTCAGGCTGGCCTTCGAGGACGAAGGCTCACGACCCGAGATACTGAAAAATCGGAACAGAAAAGATCCTTGGATAAGCGTTGCCAAGAATTTTTGCACTGAGAACGCTTTCTATCGGATTTCCGGTCATTCCGAACGAGATAAAAACGGTCGTAATCGATGACTCCTGTTTAGTCGTATCTCTCTTGTCTTTTAAAATCGTTTCTACTGAAGACACGGAGAAACTATGACGAAGTTCGTTGTTATCTGTCCGTGGGAAATGTTAGAACGATTAGATTTTCTCCGCATATTTGCTCCTTTGTTTCGAAGATTTGTATCGTGAATCAGTAAATGAATCTTATAAAGAAAAGCGCATTATTTATACGTGACGCATCATGAGAAATGCACCTGAGACTCGATAGAATGGAATCAGGATCATTGGCAAAGCTCGAATTCTTCCCGGATGCACTTACGTAGACTTGAAATTAAAATTCTGTATTTCGAAGTCGATGATTTTCATCGATCCTTGATCGATGACGTACGAAAAGATGGTGTTTACGCGTGGCAGACCGAACGAGGGACCGTCGGGACACTCTGTGCACTCGTGAACGAGCATGTGCGCAAGAATGTGGTGCACCGAGACGGTCGCGAGGGAATGCCTGCCGCTTTCACGTGTACACGCGATCGTGCGCACGGTTTCACGGGTTATTTGCATAGTCTGCTCGAGCGTCTGGTGGCCGGGAGCTGACTACGAATTCTTGCTAGGGCAGCTCCCCATGTCAAGTGCAGCTAATTCATCCCGTCGACTGCCAGGGGCTCCAGCCCCGGTCTGGTCCTCGGCAACCCTTCCGATATCAACGGCCAGCGAGGAAAACCGGTATTAAAAAGTAGACGAAGAATATACGATTTTTTAATCGTACTCGTTTAATTACTGTACACGTAGAAATTCTAGTAATTAATGACAAATCAGTGGAATTAATTTTAAACGTATGAAACATTCTCAGTCCTCGAGCTTTTATACAACGAGGGTTTGTTTTATATCCTGGTTAATAAGAAATGAGATTTGAATATCGCTCGGTCTCGTACTAAAGTAGACGTCGACCGGATCGAACCGAGGACTTATGACACAACTCCGTAGTCTTCTTGGTAGTCTCGTGGCCTCGATAGCTTTATCGACGCGTCGCAAAATACCGAGCAAACATTCAGAATAGAAATGAAATTCGCGCGAAACGTACGATCGAAATAGGCTTCTTAACCGTCTACCGAAATACTGTTGGTCGTTCGTAGCACTGGAAAAAATGTACTTCTATAAACGGTAGGCTTGTACGTTCATGGGAAACGTGGAAGAGTCTGCCGAACGTTTTCGTTACAATACGTTGTTTTGCACGTGGTACAAAAGGTAATTGTTTCACGTGTGTAAAACGTGTTTTTATCCCGTTAAGTGGAGCATGTCAGACCATGATGAACTGTTGTAACTAACGGAAATACTGGGTCGTTTCGCGAACTTTTGACGAACCCAGTTGCTCGTAAAACTGTGACTGATAAAATCGATAAGCCGCGCGTACGTACAGACCCGGTTTTACACACGTTTAATTGTTAACTAAAATCGTCGAGAGAGAAACGGTTTGGTGGTCGTCGTGTGCTCGACGAAAAGCTCTTTGAAAAATGAGAGACGAGGCGGTGTCCCGGCTAAGAATAGCCGACGGTCCCTCCGCGAAAGGCTCTCTGGTCGGAGGCGTGAAACGAATTCGCCTAGGAGGCGACGGTTTATGGCACACGCGTCGATTGACCTACATCGTTGTGTCACGGGAAGAGATGCCTGGGGCTGAATTACCGGAACACCGACCGAGGGCAATGGTCGAGCGTGAGGGTGACTTAATTAGCCAATTATTGTCATCGCAAACGGGACGAGCAGGGGGGGACAAAAGGAGCACACGGCCACCGGGCCTAACGACCACCCGTC